ATTATTAGTCTCAAAGTGGGTTCCTCGTCATCGAATTTAAGATCCAGATTGAGTTTGATTACTTCCATGATTGTGTATGGGAATTACTTTGAATGGATCACCGCTAAATTGACACATAAATTGTGCATAGAATGCTTACGAAAATCTCACATGTTCAACAACAACACATGTCTGTCATGATGTGATGCATACTTCCCTTCAGAAAACTGATGATCAACTATATTATCATGTACATGCTGGTCTACAATATTTCCAAAGTTGCATATCGGTAAATGTTCATCTGAATGTTTCAAAGTAAGCATACATTTGTAATTTTTAATAGTTTTGAGTATTGAAATTAAGAAGCCAAATTTTTTATTTTACTAATTGAATTTTTTCAGTTGTCAGATATCTGTCCTGATACAAAACTCTGCCTTCAATGTCACCTCCTCTCTTTCAACAACTGCCTATAATTCTTTCCAACATTTTATATTATTTATATATTATAACCCATAGAAATCAAAGTTTTAATCTATCAAATTAGATCTTATACTATATTGGTTTCAGAAATGAGTACTATATATTTCTTTTTGAGTTTGAGTTTCTTTCACAGTGTTCAGATCGAGAAGCTTAGGGAATTATTTTAAGGTTCTTATGCTATAGTTAGAAAGCCAGTTAAATTATAATAGCTATAGGACATTGTTTGCTTTGTGTGTGTTATTATTATGTGTTATTAGGTGAATTATTTAAGTAAATAAAAAATTATTTAGTTTGCTAGTACCATCAGTATAAAAAAGTAGGCTTAAATTTCATCAGTAACTGACAGCAAAAAAACAAGAGGTCAAAGGAAAGTAACATATTTCTTGTTTTTCATAAATATTTTTTATTGTTATAAAAGTAACTAAAATGTAAAAATTTAGAAACTTATTAGGTTAGATAAGGTTGAATTATGTAAGATAACGAAAAATTATCATAATAATAGTTAGACAAGGTTCAAAGGTCAATAAAATGACAAAATTAGGTAGAAACAGATGAAGACTGTTACAAGCCTTAATCTACTTAGAATAAACATGTGTAGTTTCTTGTTACAATTTGCAGTCATTCTAGAAAGAAAAAAGGGGTAATTTAGATTTATTTCATATTTCATTATAGTGGTTACAAAGTCAGTCAAGTCGACTAAGTCCACATAGAGTTAGGGTAGAGAAAATAACAGATAAAATATAAAGTTTAAGTGAAATAAAAAGTTTGATATTTATTTAGGTTATATAAATGAAATTTGAAAAATTTCAAATGAAAAAAGTACAGTAATCTTAACTTGAAAATCACTTTGTGCTTGAAGCAGTCAACACTTTGATTCCATTTATTCACAGACAAATCTCTAGTACAAACAGTTAATTAAAAAATATGATTTTTTATGTATAAAAAACTTGTAACATTTACTGAAAGCTTGACAAACTTCATGAAGATGCACAAAACATATTAAAAGTTATAGTATGGAAACTCTGACGATTACTTTGTGGATACAAGGTCGGTCACATCGACCAACCCTGCACAGTAAGAGTTAATATAAATACATTATTAAAAATATTGATTTTTTGCACACAAAAGACTTGTAATACTTCTTAAAAGTTTGCTGAATTTTTTGATGATACACTTGGTAAAGTCAGAATTCTAGTATTTATAGCTTTATGATTTTCAAGGTTGTTCAAAATAACTGATCCTTCAAGAAAGGGTTAAAGAACTCAATATTACTATCAAAGCAATAACTGTGAATAAGTATTGATTAACAAGTTCATTAACTTAAATTCAAAATCTGTAATTTTATTATAAACTTATTAAAATGTTTTTATATCTGAATAACCACTTGACTAATGTAATTCTTGTCTTGCATCATGTAATAAGTGAAATATCTAATACATCACTCAATAATGCCCTATTAAAGTGAAAACAAGAGACAGGTGGCATATGAAAAAACAAACACAAACAGAACTACAGAAGTAAAGACCTATTCACCTTGTACATAGTCTGAAAAGGTCATCAACTGTATCAGGATGGTTCCTAAGCCCATCTTGCTTGTCTAGAAGATGAAATGTAGGTCCACAGAATGCCTATATAGCAATGAATACAAAGTCTTGAATAAGTTGTATTACTCATCAATTGCCAATCTTTAGCTTTACTATAAAAACCAGTAAAAAGCTTACAATAGATTTTCATATCATTTTTTGAGTCTTATTATTATTATTATTGGTAATTTAAACATGTGCATACAGAAAAAACATCTTACTAAATATAGACTGTTCTTGAGAAACATGAGTTCTAAAATTAAGATTCATTAATTATTTGGTGTTAGAATCTAATGTTTACATTTAATCAATAATAAACTGAACTACAAGACACATTACATTCAACAATGTTTCAAACCTCAAACACATTTTACCTTGACTGATTGTACTAGTAACTTTCATGCTAGTTGGAATTCACTAAAATGTGTATTATTTAATAGTTAGTTTCACAGACTTATTATCAAATGTCAAATAATTTCTCCACACAGCCATATAAATCTAAAGATTTATGACATACTGTTATTTGATATTTACATTTAATTGGATTTCATTTCTTCAGGGAAAACGATTTTTCATTACAGAATCATAATCAGACAAAAAAAAACTACAAGAGTATTTTTGATTGAAATTTGATTTCATTAAAAGGAAGATATACTACCTGGAAAAAGTTAAGCACCCCCAAATATTTTTCAGGATTGCTTA